ATATGGATCACTGCATGTAGCCTACTTGAATATACAGTACGTGTGCGCGCGCGCGCGCATATATAAATCCTAAATATAAATATTTGGTCATTCACTCTTTTCCCATAATAAAATGGATCATTTCATTTCCCCGTTTCCTGCATTTTGGTGAATGACTCAACTCGAAACAGTTAAATGAGCCAAATTTCCTGTCACGAGTAACTTGGTCATCAAAATACTTCATTTCCCAGAAGGCCTGGTTTCGTCGCGCCTGCGCAGTGTGTGTTTTTCCGTTCCATGTGTAGGCGAATCACGTGGAGGAAAACTGTCGTAGCAGGGACTCCGTGCTACGCTGGCTGTATCGCCTCCAGTTGTCGCTGCACTTTGTTTTGACAGCTGCCTGTTTTCTTTTCTAGGTCGTTTTTACTGAAGAATGAGTGAAAACGATGACATCGAAGTCGACAGCGATGTATGTGTTTTTATTTTGCTAGATTTTTTTTAGCTAGTCGTTTGTTAGCCGAACGAGCACATAAATATCTCGTCCTGTCTGTTGTGTTTGTGCTAGCTTGTTAGCTAACTGTAGTTCATTAAAAAAAAACGCTTGGCCTATCAGTTGAAGTTTTTCTTTCCTTTGGAGTGCTGGCTTATAAATAAAAATCGATCATATACAAGTTGCACCTATTATTGCGTTAAAGCACTGCGATGTTAGTGTTTTCTCCCCAACACATTACATCATCAGCTTTTTAAAAGCAATTCTAGCATCGTTTTCTCGCCCTGTCTATAATATCCGTTTGTTCATTGTGTAACGCTTAAAATGACTTAAATTCAGTTTAAGCAGCTGAAACACTGAAAACTAGATGCGACACGGACAACAGCAGCTAAGCTGTTGCTGAAAGGAAGGCCAGCTCATCAGCGAAAACAGCGAAGCCTTTGAACACGTTGTCCTGTTTAAATTTAAATACTTTAAAACGTGAGCTTCACTTGTTTTTGCACAGTTTGATGTAAAGGCAACGCTTGCAAAAGAGTGTAACCCCATTACGTCAGGATTGCTATATATTTACAAGCTAGCGTTAGCATCGAAATGGGCAAAACAATGCGACAGTGCCTTTTTTAGGTTGGAGATTTGATTAAAATAATGTGTTGCTTCTTTAGCTTTACCATCCTGCAGAAATGGATAGGCATCAAGTACTCTATGTTCTCTTCGAGCATCTCGTATCGCACGTATTACCCGACCTCACTGCACACTGACGTCGCTCCCCTGTAAAGCTGCGTCTTTTTAATATATGTTGTGGCTTTTTTATATGTAAATATTAATGTGGATGGGTTTAATCGATTTGACTGTAATCACTTTGGATCAACTAACATGCCTGAATGGAAGAACCTTTCAGGCCAGAGTTTAAAACAAAGCTCATCATGTAGATAAGGGTCGGAGTTATGGCCATTTTGGTCAACCCTTGTTGTATATGACGTTATGCGCGAGCTCATACGATTATGCAAGATCTCGCGCGATCTGTTAGCACTGGACGTACRTGAGGATAACTCTCAGATACTACCACATCAAATTTAGCTTTGCTCCACAAAAAACGGCTCACTTATAGCCAGTTTGGTCGTGGCTGAACTGGCAGCCATCTTTGATTACAGTTAATAAGTTGTAAATGTGCATCCCATTATTACTTTCTGAGACTTTCAGTGCAATCTGTCCAGTAATTATTTAGATGTCTTGTTAACAAACAGGGTTGACACTAGTAGTCAGTGGCAAAGATGTTGTGTAGTTAGGTTAATGTGTGTGAAATTAACTGGGCTATAGCCATTATGTGTTTTCTAAGGTTGATCAGCGGTGGCAGCCATCTTGAATAGGGTTGAAAAGTGAATCAGTTGTAGATGTTCATCCAGTGGTTAATTTCTGAGTTTCATTAAAAATACATTCTTTGGTTAATGAGATAATTATGCTAATATTACAAACAAAATAACAAACTTTGGTTAAACATTGTTGCCTGTTGCAGCAAGCAAACATTAGAATGATTCTGCAGAGCAGGAAATTGAAGAAACTTTTACTGTTGGGTTCTGCTTGGACAAAAATATGTCAAATCATTATTAGTTCACAAATTTTTTAAGCTACAGTCTTCCTGCATGTTCTGGCCACGTTACTGCTAAAGAAAAATGCTTGGTTAGTGTTACTTACAGACAGCTATTGTTAGGGTTTTCCTCTCATCCCTGACTCAGATTGTTTCCCAGCTTGTGTTTTACCTTGATGCAAACTAGGAAACTAACTTGTTTGTGCTTTTGTTGCCACTGCTGATAAATTAACATTAAAATGCTGACAATGTCTCCACAGCATATGCTGGACAGTAAATACAAAGTCAGCCTAATTAAAGACACATGGTTTTATGTGTGTGAGGCCCAACCCTTTAACCAACTGAAAGCAAAAGAGATCAGCTCCCTATAAACAGACTTACGCAGCAGGTTTGCAGTGTACTATGTTCAGATAARTGAGTTTCTTACATAAACACAACATTGCAGGCATGCAAGCTAAAGAGCAACAAATAAAAAAAATGCTGTTTTGATAAATTGATCTTGTGTACATTTTAGTTTAAACGACCTGTGTTTTGAAGAAATGCCCGCACAAACCAACGCCGTCTCTTTGCAGGCTGATAAGCGAGCACATCACAATGCGCTGGAGCGCAAACGGAGGGACCACATCAAAGACAGCTTTCACGGTTTAAGAGATTCCGTGCCTGCATTATATGGAGAGAAGGTGAGAGGACATCAGTGGTTGAATCGCTTGTAGAAATGGTGACAGTGAATTAAGGAAACAGATCTCTCWTGGTTACTGTGTCAGAGGTTATTGTCTTTTTTTAATGCAATATTTGTGTGTACCTGCAGTAGACAGCAGTTGAAGGAATTTTAGATTTAAGAATAAGAGGGTAGAAGAAGAGAGACCCTTTTAGGATTGATTTTCTGACATGCAATGCAACCTATGTTGGTGGTTCAAGTGAATACTCTGTTACACATTGTCCCTTTTGCATCAGGTAGATACAGGGGTTAGACAATGAAACTGAAACACCTGTCATTTTAGTGTGGGAGGTTTCATGGCTAAATTGGACCAGCCTGGTGGCCAGTCTTCATTAACTGCACATTGCACCAGCAAGAGCAGAGTGTGAAGGTTCARTTAGCAGGGTAAGAGCACAGTTTDGCTCAAAATATTRCAATGCACACAACATTATGGGTGACATACCAGAGTTCAAAAGACGACAWATTGTTGGTGCACGTCTTGCTGGTGCATCTGTGACCAAGACAGCAATTCTTTGTGCTGTATCAAGAGCCACGGTATCCAGGGTAATGTCAGCATACCACCAAGAAGGACCAACTTATCCAAAAGGATTAACTGTGGACGCAAGAGGAAGCTGTCTGAAAGGGATGTTATGGTCAAAAACCAGGTGTTTCACTTTCATTGTCTAACCCCTGTATTTACACTGATGTCTACAATTCTTTAAACTGGAAYCAGCTCATAATAATAATGAATTTCATATGTAACATGTAGGGTTGGGCATAATCGTATCGTGTGCAATTAATTGTCAGAAAAACATTAATCGATTAGTTTTTGTCACTTGACGATTAATATGATTAATGCCACCAGGCAGATGGACTGGGAATTACTCCGGTCAGTCTGCTCGCTGCTCCTCTCTGCTTCAAATATGACGAACATTAAAAATAAAGTTCTGGAATTTATTTATCTATCAACAAAATTTAAAATATGACGTATAGCCTGAAATCTGTAATTTTACACAATTTGGAACAATTTTTTACAAAGCGCAAAGCTTTCCCACTAAATTGGTCATGTGACCACGAAATAAGGGTGTCCAGGGACTCCAGGGGATTAATTGTCAAATTAATCGTTATCGGCTAAATACCACAATTAATCGTGATTAATTTTTTTGCCAATATTGCCCAACCCTAGTAATGTTTTTCATTAGCAAAAGTCTCAAAGTTCTACAAAGTAGCAAAACGCACAATAAATGATAAAACTAGTCAAATAAAACAAACAAAAGAACAATAAAATTACACTAATAAAACAACAGCCAAAGCTGGAAAAGGCCTTCATTTTTAATCCACATTAAAAATATTTAAACCTGCCACATCTTCAAACAGAGTTAGAATAGGCTAGTTTAAAAAGAAAAGTAGTTTATCCTTCAGCCAAACAGGGATTGTTGACCTCTCAGAGTCAGGGACAGAGTTCCAAAGGCGGGGGGCTGCCACATCGAATCCCCAATCTTTAGTTTGGTTCATGATGGATGCAGATGACTGTTCTGAGAGCGGAGGGAACGGGTGGATGAATATGGAACAAGAAGGTCCTTCATATAATCTGCTGAGGTTCTGTTAGTGCATTGATGGGTAATGAGAGCAATCTTATATTGAATTCTGTAGTTAATAGGAAACCAGTGAAGGTTATGGAGAATGGGTTTAATATGTTCTGATTTACGAGCTCTCAATAAAGTCCTGGCTGCACTGTTTTAAATATATTGAAGATTTTTTACCAGGGATTCCAAAAAAACAGGCAGTTACAGTAGTCAAGCCTGGAGGAGACAAAAGCATGTATGAAGCTCATTCGTGTTGCAGTAGAAGCCATATTTAGTGTGTTCCATTTATTTAACTATCTCTTGCTACAGTGATAAGGTGTAATAATATAGCTTTTGTCTGAACAGCTGCACACTTTTCCTGCTTTTTTGCTGTAATTTCAGTGAACCTTGATACATTCGACTAGACGAGTGAAGAACAAGTTTTGCATTAAGCAAATTGACTGCAGAGTTGTCTCATAGATATTTGTTTCTGCTCATCAGGCTTCACGAGCACAAATTTTAGACAAAGCCACAGAATACATTCAGTTCATGAGGAGAAAAAACCACAGCCACCAGCAAGACATCGATGATTTAAAGAAGCAAAACGCACTGCTGGAGCAGCAGGGTAAGGACAGGAGTTCCTCACGTAACAAATGCCCGGGGTGACTGCTGTGCTCTACTTCACTGTTTCTCGTCTCGTCTCTTTAAGTTCGTGCACTGGAGAAGGCCAAAGGTAACACTCAGCTCCAGACAAACTACTCTTCCGACAGCAGCTTGTACACAAACCGCAAAGGGAGTGCCGTGTCTGCCTTCGACGGCGGATCCGACTCCACCTCGGAATCGGAGCCGGAGGAGCCGCCCAGCAGAAAGAAGCTGCGTGTGGAGCCCAGCTAAACTCAGGTGCTGCTGTCCCTGATGTTCAAACGGACTCTCCGTACCAACCAGCTTCTCTTACCTGCCCTCTGTCGCTCCTACCTTCTTACACCAGTCTAAGACCCAAGTTGGAGACAGTGTGATCGGTGCTTCTACCTTGCTGTGTCCTCTTGGCATCCCGTCACTGTTTTTGTGGCCCGGCAATGACTTTTACTACCCCCAAAGTGAGGCAGCTCAGCAGTCTTTGAAAGACGTGAAAAATGTTCATAAAATTTCGTTGTATGAGTCTTTAGTAAAGCTATAAAAATCCTTTCTTTTGGACAACCTTTGCAGTCTGTTGTGAGACTATACYACCTTTGATGGAATGATAATTAGAAACTGTCTGTTTTTAATATTCATACTTTTTCAGAAAAGAATGTCAAAGTGTTTTTAGTAAACGTGTCTGATATGCAAGAAGATCCACCCCCTGCCCCCCAGGTTTTATCTTTGAAACCTTTGTTTAATCGAATTCCTCTTTATAGTGGTGCACCAAAATTAATTTTGCAACCATACACGATATATTCATGACTGATTTTCACTGCTTCGGGTATTTCTTTTCCGCTTTTGTTGTTCTCAGTAAATAAATGTGATTATTAAAACAAACAAACAAAAAAAAAAACCACCTAATTGATACTGAATGTTACACAATGAAGTTAAAGGGCAGTTACCTTTATTTTTGTTAGTGGAGGTCCATTTCAGTGTGTAGTATATAACACTGTATACTCCTAAATGGTGTCAGTTCTGCAAAGAAAAGCCTTCCCTTGAAATAGTTGCCTGTCCTGGGAATGTTGATCAAACAGAAAAAGGAAAAAAAAGTGTGTAATATTTGTTCCATTCCATGGAAATTACAGGTATGTTGTACATACTGCCAATGGTTGTCTTGCAAGTTAAGGCATACCTTTATTATGARATTATAAATAAAACTATTTTATCCTTTTTGGATGTATCTATGGTTCGGTGTGTGTTAATAACAGCTTGCAGTAGTCCTGTTCCTTTAAGCGTCGGGTATTAAACCCACTGGAATTAAATGAAATCATATGATTGAAGGAATTTCACCAAATCACCCTCTGACTTTCATGCTAGAGTTTTCAACTAAGACTTTCTCATGAATCCTCATTTTGGTCAAACTACGGTCATTTTATGTGCAATTTATTGCAATAATACAAGATATTACACTTAGAATATGTCATGGATTTGGCTACTACACTAAATTTTTACTCAATATCTAAAACTGATGTATAATCATTTTTTTCCATCATGGTAGACTTCTCAGTTGGATTAGTTTTAAAAAATCAGTATTATATTAATGTCCATTGATTAGTATCTAAACATTTCATTAAAATTCATCCAGTGGCTCATGAAGCATTTTGCTAACAAACTGTTGTATTTGACATATAAGGATCCRTCACATTATGACGTTTTAGACGACTTAAGAAAATTTTAAAGACACCTAAGTTGAAGATGGAATTGAAAAAAAAAATCAACTAGACGCTTCTTTTAGGCATGTACACTGTGATTCTAACAAATTGATCAAATATATAGCTTTTATTAGCAATTTAGACACAAAAATGTTTCATAAGTTATCTAGTGTGACAGGGTCTTTAATGCCAGAGTTTTAAGTAAACAATTCACACAAGTAGCAATCTAATTTATGAATAATAAATTTAATAATAATTTATCTTAGCTACTACCACACCAATTTTTAGCCTATTTGTAAAATTTACTAAATTATAGCCATTGTGTTTTTAAGGTCACTTGTTTGTGGTGGCCATCTTTAATCAGGTCATTCTTAAAAGGGAATCAGTTGTAGATATACTACTGTACATCCATTGATGACTTTCTGCAATTTCAATCCAAACCTGTCCAGTAGTTCATGAGATATTTTGCTAACAGGCTCTAACAGTGATATTGTCACATCACCTTCGCATTTTGATAGCAAACAATACAAATTGACTTCTCAACGAACAACATATTGTTTATTCCTCTGTCATATTCTACAATTATCTGCATTAAAACTGTAAAATATGGCTAACGTTGGTATCATCAGACTAATATTTTTAATTCAGTCATTAGAAGCCATCGAAAAGAAAAAACAAACAAACAAGTAGGTCCTCTGAACGGGTTCTTCTTTAATTCATTMTATTATACGATTCTTCTTTATTTGACGCCATCCTTTTTGTTCTGCCAGGTAAAGATGCAGATCTTATGGTGCTTTTGAAGATATAGGAAATTGTAGTTTTAACTTGTGTTGGCACGTTTTAAAGTAGGCTACAACAGAGATAACGAGTTTGGATTGACGTAATTCAAGCCAGAGCACATGTAAGAAAATATAGATTACATAAAAATAAAAATTTTGTTGACATCTTCGTGTTTTTAGGACTATGGGATAGTACTTCCAAAACTTCCGAACTTAAAAGGTAAGTATCCGAGGGACCCTGAATGCAGCATCGGTGCGGAGGACATCTGCTCGTAGAAGTTGTAAGAAAAGTTATGTGTGTAAAATTGTAAGTTTTCGGAGTCATGGCTAAAGAGTACGACGTGTTGTTCAGACTGCTGCTTCTCGGAGACTCTGGGGTCGGAAAGACGTGCATGTTGCGCAGGTTCACGGAGGGAGAATTTGATCCTTTGCACATTTCCACCATCGGTAAGAAGAATGTTTGCCTATGTTAACCGGCTAAACACCACCTCGTGTAGAATTTACTTTAAACTCAAATTTATGTTACTTTCACTTTTTCCTTTTTTTAAGTTACAGAATTAGTTGGGCTACCGTAAGCTAAAATTTAAAACGACATTTTTCTTAAAAAAAAAAAAACTTTGCTGCAGAAATGGAATGAATAATACATTTATTCCTTTACTAGGCCTATATTTTCATTCCTTCAAAAGCATGGTGTGGATTGACGAGCCCATTAGTTCTTATCACCTTTGTCCTTTTTCACTGATTAAAAATGACTTGCAAGGAGGTGGTTGTAATTTGTTCTTGGAGAGAAAGTTCACCTGCATTCTGTGGAGCATTAAACGTCATGGGACTTTTCAGTGTGGCTTAACATGGGCTGTAAGCTCAGTTATTTGACAAAAGTGCATTAGATATATTCAATAATAATTGGTCTAACAAATTTTTTTTTTTTTCAGTCCTAGTCAGTTTGTTTCTGCATCAGCTGGCAGGAGACATGCAGAACATCTAATTGCTCAAAAATGTATCAGAGCCAAGGGGCTTTACCTCTTTCACTAATTACTGAGGAAACGGTAGAGATCGCAGTATTTCTTTGTTTTACTGGGTGAATGTTTTCCCACAAAAAGCTCCCCATCAATGCAGCTGCACTGCCTTTTCTATTTCTTAAAYAACACTGTACTCTTTCTGTGCAAATCTCACATTTTAAGTCCTCAAAAGGATTTGAGTCAGATGAATAATGGTCCCAGGTCGTTGATCATTTTCAGGGAGGGAGGGAGGGAGAGAGAAATAATGTGGATGATAGGGGTGTAAGAAAATATCGATACACTGAAATATCAC